GACGCCGTCTACAATAATTCCAGTTCACATGCGTATTTTGGCCCGCTGGATACAAGTCTGAATTCAAAATTTAGTGATCGTAACTATTTCTGGAATATAGGGCATACCAAGAGTAAGCATTATTGAGAAAATTATATACAACGTTAAGTCGAGTCAACTCTCTTGTTTATTAAGATGTTGAGGAGATATATTTAAGCACTGACTTCAGAGGTGATCTTCTTTAAATATTTTGTTCAAAGAGAGCACTTTTCTTTTTTCAGTGATGAGGTACCATGTACCATTAGTGTTATACAATTCAGAAAATATAATAATATTATCAAGAGTCATTTGCATATTTCAAGAAAAACGAATATAATAACACAAATTAATGGATGAATATATAGAGATTCAAACACAATTCTTCTCATAAATGTTACCAAGAGCAACTCACCAACCCCAAAATCAATCAACCCTACTCCTAATCAAATAATGTGATGCTTTTCGATGTGTAATTCTTACTTTTAGAACCTATTTCCGTATCATAAATGAAGTGAATTATCGGCCAACTCAATCTTGAAAAAACATCTGGTATTCATTCAGTTCATTTAAATTGAAATAGGGTACATTTTCAGGAGACATAAATTCTCACAAAAAACACTTTAGCTTCTCCATCGCCTTTTCAGAGAAAATGTGTTGGTGGAATACATTTCCTGACGTGACCCATTTGGTTATTGAAACGCGCGTCGACAAGAGTATTGCAGTTCTGGTATGTGAGAGCAGTGTTTGGCTTTTTCGGGCAATGGCTTGAGTTTCAAACTCTTCTCTTCTAAATGTAACACGTCGTATTCAGAATTGAACTCATGTCCTTCTGCTAAAAGGTAGTTTGCAAATGTGGAATTGGACTTTCCATTCACAAAACTACTTCTATGCTCTTTAATTCTTTGGGAAAATGTACAGTTTTGGGCAAGAGCCACAGGTCAGCTCATATACTCCTGATCTATCCGGCACCAATGTTTTGTCTGTATTGTTTTCAATAAATTTACCTATACTATTATTCGTTCTATAAGCTACATTTACGCATTATTTCTTCAAAAACAGGAAATATGACATTGTCCTATAACTGACGTTATCGCATCTTGAATTTGGGTACACCAGGTCCATGACCTGCTTTTGTAGTTTTTTGAAAAAAAAGAACTTAGAACCTTTTTGGGAAAGAAAGTCTTTGGCTCCTCTTGATACAAAAAAATGTGGGAATCTTCCAAAGAAAGGAAGGAAGAAATCAATTTGAAAATAAGTAACTCTATACATGGATGTGTAGATCATGCAAAGAAGCAACTTTCAGACACAAACTGGTGAGGAATTCCAAATGCAAATCAAACAGCATAAAAACAATAACGTTTCCAAAAGCAATGACTCCAACAACAAAAAAGACACCGGTCAAAATACAAAAAGTGAAAAGCGTAGTAATAGCGCAAAGAAAGCTGATAAAACCAAAACGAAAGTTGGCAATGATGGTAATAGAAATAAACAAGCAGAGACCAAGTCAGCGTCCATTATTAGAAATCCTAAAGGAAGTTCAACGATAAAGCAAGAAAATACATCTGCCAGGAATAATATCCCTATCAAGAAACCCTCTGATCAAAAATCTGTGAACAACAAAGCTCCATCTTCCCAAGATCGAAAAGAAAGGCAAAATTTGGTTAACCAAACTAAATCTCCTGTAATGAACACCGGTGACGGTGAAATAAAAAATACTGCGTTGAACTCCAAATCAGTTTTGAAGAGAGATGTAGTAGCTGAGAAGATTTTATCATCCACCAATCCATCACCANCTATCACGACATGTTTCGCTAACACAGTAGCCTTTTCGTAGTGAATATGTTATTCACTATTCACTGCACCTTACGATTTGATTTTCACGAACTTTATTTTCGAAACTGTCAGATGTTTCGCTAAAACAGTAGCATTTTCGTAGTGAATATGTTATTCACTATTCACTGCACTTTACGATTTTATTTTCAACAAACTTTATTTTCAAATTTATCATGACATGTTTTGCTAATACAGTAGCCTTTTCGTAGTGAATATGTTATTCACTATTCACTGCACCTTACGATTTGACTTTCACAAACTTCATTTCCAAAACTATCACGACATGTTTCGCTAACACAGTAGCCTCACGATTTGATTTTCACAAGCTTTATTTTCAAAACTATCACATGTTTCGCTAACACAGTAGCCTTTTCGTAGTGAATGTTATTCACTATTCACTGCACCTTACGATTTGATTTTCACACGCTAACACAGCAGTCTTTTTGTAGTGAATATGTTATTCACTATTCACTTCACCTTACGATTTGACTTTCACAAACTTCATTTCCAAAACTATCACGACATGTTTCGCTAACACAGTGGCCTTTTCGTAGTGAATATAGTATTCACTATTCACTGCACCTTACGATTTGATTTTCACAAACTTCATTTCCAAAACTATCACGACATGTTTCGCTAACACACTACCCTTACGATTTGATTTTCACAAACTTTATTTTCAAAACTATCACGTGTTTCGCTAACACAGTAGCCTTTTCGTAGTGAATGTTATTCACTATTCACTGCACTTTACGATTTGATTTCCACACGCTAACACAGCAACCTTTTTGTAGTGAATATGTTATTGACTATTCACTGCATCTTACGATTTGATTTGCACAAACTTTATTTCCAAAACTATCACGACATGTTTCGCTAACACAGTAGCCTCACGATTTGATTTTCACAAAATTTATTTTCAAAACTATCACATGTTTCGCTAACACAGTAGCCTTTTAGTAGTGAATATGTTATTCACTATTCACTGCACCTTACGATTTGACTTTCATAAACTTTATTTCCAAAACTGTCACGACATGTTTCGCTAACACAGTAGCCTTTTCGTAGTGAATGTTATTCCCTATTCACAGCACCTTACGATTTGATTTTCACACGCTAACACAGCAGCCTTTTTGTAGTGAATATGTTATTCACTATTCACTGCACCTTACGATTTGATTTGCACAAACTTCATTTCCAAAACTATCACGACATGTTTCGCTAACACAGTAGCCTCACGATTTGATTTTCATAAACTTTATTTTCAAAACTATCACATGTTTCGTTAACACAGTAGTGAATAACATATTTACTACGAAAAGGCTAATATGTTAGTGAAGCAGGTGGTAGTTTTGAAAATAAAGTTTGTGAAGATCAAATCGTAAGGTATAATTTATGAAAGTACTATGGATTTTCATCTAGTAACGGACGAATAAATCAGAAAAAAAAACTCTACTCTTTTCATGAACTTTCTATCTTTGCGCTGTTTCAGAACGAAAAAGAAGTGTTTTCAGAAAATGATATCAATTTCAATTCAGCAATCACCTTGATGAGAAATTGAAGCAGCAATAATAAATATGAATCAATTTTCATTCACAGGAAACGAAGTACCTATCTTGGGGGAACGGCTTGAAATTTTCAATGATTCCTTATTTTTTAACACCAGTGCTAATAATATAATAGTCAATCGTGTTATCTTCTAGACAGCTTGATGAAATTCCAGAAGTGACGATAACTTGCATTTTCAAAAGAAACTGTGTTTAGTTCAAATCGAAGAAATGTATGACAAATTTTTACTTGCGTGATAGTTGCTATAAAAAGATCTGTATGCGAAATGGATAAGTAGAACACCAAAAGTTTTTATTTAAAAACAAATGTCTTCAAAAATATACTTTTTTCAATTCAGCCGAATTATCCAAATTTCATGATACTGTTTCATGCTTACTTCATGAAGGGCTGGATTTGAGTCTATTAGCATTAATTATGAAGTTCAACTGTTTGTTAATAACAATCAATTGTGTCAACTGTGATGAATAGAACACTTGATATTGGATAGGTACAGGATATTGGTGTAAAACTAAATATTAAAAAAATAATGTGCACTGGATATTGAAAAGGAAACAGTTCTTATGGAATGTTCAACATCAACTGAAGATCTTGATCTGCCAATGTCCTCTCTCTCATAAAATAAAATGTAGGGTGTCTCCAGAGGCTCCAATAAATTCAATACATCGCCAGAACACTTATTCTAATTCTTTGAATATCTAACAAAAAAATTGGAAGTGAAACAAAAATTATAAGATTCTCAATAATCCATTTCGATTTGTATTTTCTATAAAGGACTTCATAATCATAATATCATCAGCTAAATCAAGAAAGGAATAAAACTCTTCGAAGCGTTCAGAGTGTTCGCATCATTTTTTCCGATCTTTCTCGGAAAACAACATGAAGTAATCGCCACACAATCTTCCAACACACCTAAAATTAAAGTTCACGTTTTTATTAGCTGCATATTGCTTTAGTGATGTCTGTTTGAAGTGCAAATCGAGGACAACTCACCATTTTCGATTTCTTTCATTTCACTATGTATTATATAAATGATATTCGCACTCATTTCGTATGTACTACGCTTCCAAATTTTCCTCAAGTCTTAAGAAAAACTACAATTCGCTTCTTGTTTCCCAAAATAACTAACATTTGCGATCACTTTCCTAGTTTTCTCTTTTGAAACTTTGTGTTTCAGCTTGAAATTTATTTTCACTACACGGATTTATGTCGAAAACTGTCCTGCCGATATACGCACTATAAGATTATATTATTGAAACTGAACGGTCTTACCGTCTTCTAACGCATATCTAGTGAGCAAGGTCATATCAAAAATCAAATGTATCGTCCTACATTTCACAAACTGTATTTACTCGAAACAATTCGTTCTAAGATGTTCACTCAAATTCAATCACAAATACATTTACTAATAACTGAGCTCAAGCTAATTGATAGATAATCTTTTGAATGGATTTAAACAGAAGGAATAGTATAAAGAGTTCGACAGTTATTCACAAAACTACTCATATCATTCACGTCTTAATCTGCAAACAGCATATTAACATAATATTTGACTGATATAACGCATTCTGATTTGATTTACAGTATACCCGAACTCCTATACCTTGTCCGAAATAAGGAAATAGCGGATCTCTGTAAAAGGTTGATCAAATCAAAATTGCTGGAACATCATCAAGTAGACTTATATTATGGAAATAACTATGAAAGTTACAAGGAATGTCCAGATAGAATGAAACAAACACTCATCAATAGGATAAGGTGGTCTTGCCCAAGTTACACAAGTAAACAAGGTAACGCTGAGAATGCTTTCTCAGAACTATTCAGTATTTTCTAGCATTACGGTATCAAGTAACCCGCTGTTCCTAACAAAAATAATGTTTTTCAATAGATCGTTCTTATTATTTGGCCTATTGAGATAATTAATCTGTCTTTTTCAACATTAGTGGTTTCGGGGTCTTCTAATAATTAACGATTTCTCACATGGAACCAAATAAAACATAAGTTCAAATGTATTCATTTTGAAATTTTACTCTCGCGTCATCGCCAATTTCAATGTTTATTCTAATTCATTTGTTTTGTATGTTCACTCAATAATATTGTTAAGCCGATGCCGTGTGACGAATCCGCCACTGTTACAAGTTCATAACCTTATCGTGATATCAGTTTTCACCAAGGTAACGAAAATCATTCTCCAATGAAAGTATCGAAGAATTCGAGAGCTTGAACAAGTGAAGTTCGGGTGATAATCATTAAGAGTAGCTAAAAAGTTCAGTGGAGAGTTTTAATCATGAAATAATGTTATTAAACTTCAATAAACGTACCACCTATTCACAGAGGCGGAATAAGTATTTTGCCGCCCTAGGCCCCGTCTAATCCGCCGCCCTTTTTCAACAACAAAATTATATATATTTTTTGATTCACAATTGTTGTTAAATGTCCCGGGCCTCACGGGCCTATGCGGTAATCCATCACTGTATATTTATTATATTTATGAACAACACACATAAGCATTAACATTATCGACACTGGTAATAACGGCGGAAGCAAAGTAGTACCAGAATAAGGAGAATGAAACAAATTGACTGGTATATTATAAATACATAAAGGAGTAACTCCACTGAGATAGCGAATACAAAATAAGATATCGTAAAGTAAATGAAAGCATCGAGGGAACGAAAAGAAATTGAACAAAAAAAAACAAAAATGGAGGTAAAAAGTAGAACAACAAAAATATTTCCAAGATATAGTACAACTATAGTAACAAGAAATGTAAGAGGAAGAGAACAAAAGGAGGGGGAGGAGAAAGAAGGTGAAACAGTTGTCAAAACATCAATCAAGAAAAACCGTTAATCCTGCAACTGGAAGAAATCATACAAGGCGTTCGAAGAAAATTGACAGAAAAAGTAGAACGAATACAAGGTGAAAAATACAAGGTTCAGAATGAAGTTGAGAGAGTTTGTAATCGAATGCAAATATTCAGCGATTACACCTAGCCCGGACTTATGAAACACGAAAGAGACTATGAAGATAGTTCAAATCTGGCTCACCAGCTTAGTCTGACCTGGTTGATAGCTACATTCCTTCTTGACTAGGCAACTGAAGTATACCTTCAAGATGTGTTGAACCGACAGTTCGTCACCAGTACGACTCTGGCACGAGTGTATCACATATGGAGAAGGTCAAACTATCGTACCGAAAGAGTTATATCAAACTCAAAGAACAAGGTAATTTGTCACAAACTGTAGAAGAGACGGAAAAGCTCCTACTTTGTAACTGAAAAAATAAAGGGGTAGGAATCACCCGTGTTAGGAATCACACGTTAAAAGGTAAGACCTCGTTAGTCCTTAGCTCGTACAAGTTTCTCAACTTCTGAGAGTTGTCGTTCGTATGGGGGCGACAGCTGATTAACGGAAAAATAGATTTTAAACAGATTTGTCACATTTAGCCAACGCCTCCGAGCAAATCACTAATCGGGACGGAGTAACTTAAGAGGAGGACAGTGTTACAACCATAAGGAAACCAACAAGACGTCTGAACACGTAAATTAGTCCTTTAGTTTTATAAATTATTTGCCGATGAGAGTGTTAAAAAACTCGTGGAACATGAGAGATCTTTCATATGAGCTATAAGAGGAAAAAAGATCAATTGGTAGACTAGTTCGAGAGCAAGGAAAGTGACAGAGAAGAAATGAATCGAGTACGATAATTATATAGAAGAAAACTAAATGAAGTTGTTAAATTTGAATAAGCGTACCACACACTCATTGAGGAAGCAACACTGATAAAAGCGGTAGCTGGCATGCGTTTATTTATGCTATTAAAGTATTATTATTATTAGGCTGTTTCGAAAGTTTTGTCGGTTTTGATGTCATGTGTTTTTATAGCTCCATATCTCAGTAAATATTTATTTTACGGTGTCGTGATATATACTGATCGATATAAAATGATTTACTCTAATCACTGATGCTGTTCATTTTTTCCAAATTTCAATTTCTTGCCTCTTTTCAGCTTAACACTATATGATGTCGTCAAGCGCCAATTTTCCTTTACGAATTCAAATCGAACCAAAGCGCTGCCGAAACAGCCCGAAAAATCAACCAAGCATTTGGCAATGATATTGTTAATGAAAACACTATTCGTCGTTGGTTTGCGAAATTTCGTTGTTCCAGAGATTCGTGCCACGAAGTTGTCGACCTACAGTAATCCCAGAAGAGGATATGAGGATCCTGGTGGAAACTGACCCATGGCGGAAGAACTGGGCATCAGCTCCCGAATGGTTTTTGATGGTTCAAAACGTATTGGAAAGGTTGAAATGCTAGAATAGTGGTTGTGTGCCCGACGATTTGAACGATCGACAGAAGTTGTCACGTTTCGAGGTCTGTTCTTTTTTGCTTTTGCGCCGCAACCAATAACGATAATTTTTTGGATCGGGTCGTCACGTGTGATGAAAAGGGGACCCTCAACGACAACAGGAGACGTTCTGGACATTGGTTGGACACTGATGAGCCACCCAGGCACTTTCCGAAGGCAAAAACACACCAAAAAGACCACGGTTCAGCGACTGGTGTAATTCACTATAATCGGACCAAAATATCACAGAGGAATCCTATTGTGAGGAAATCGAGGAAATGTACCAAAAATTGCGTCTGCAGCAGTCAGCCCTGGTCATCAGAAGAGATCCGATATTACGCCACGATAACGCCCGTCCACACGTTTTCGAAAATTAAACGAATTGAGCGTCGAAATTTCGCCTCGCCCACCATTTTTGTTTGATACTTTAGGAGCTGTCTGACTTGTACATTTAGTCCAAGTCTCCAAAAAACACCGCAGCCTCTTGGGCTTATTGCGTTTATTCTCCCATCTTCTCATTACACCCATTCCATCAGTCTCGTTCCCTGTACTAGTTTGTACCGGTTCCGTGTTGGATGTTCGTCATATTCTTCTGGACGTAATTTCGTACGTCCATTTATTGCCTGCCTCCTGTGATTCAGTGCCTCACATTCGCATAAGATATGTAGAGCTGTTTCTGTCCCTTCGTTGTATAGTCTGCAGCTGACGTCCCCGTTGTACAGCCCAGTTTTATTCAGGTGTCCTCTAAGCGGACAATGACCGGTTAGTAACCCTGTAATTATTCTGAGTCGATCCCTACTATATTGAAGTAGTTCTTTGGTTCTTTTCTCGGACGGTTCCCTAATGAAGGTTCTACCGTGTTTGTTGCCAAGTAGTTTTGTCCAGTACTCTGTGTGGTTCTTATTGGTCCATGTCCTAATCTGGTTTCGTACCAATGATTTTGATACCCCCAGAGCTGGTTCAGGACCTATATATGAAGTTGATGATCCGCGTCTAGCGCATTCATCAGCTTTATCATTACCTGTGATTCCTGAATGCCCTGGCACCCAGTACAAAGTTAATTTGTTTCTGTTTGCAAGTTCATTCAGTTCTTCACGGCATTCCCAGACCAGTTTTGATGTCACCTTCGGGTTTGTCAGAGCCCCTAGTGCGCTCTTGCTGTCTGTAAAAATATTGATCCGCTCATTTCTTTGAGGTCTCAATTTGTTAAGCCTTGCACACTGCAAGATAGCATATACGTCCGCCTGAAAGACGGATGTGTATAGTCCTAGCGGATAGCTGTAGTTTAAATTTCTATCCGCTCGTTATATAATAGCTCCCGTTCCATGTTTGGTCTTCGATCCATCTGTATACCAGGTGTTTTTTTCCAAACATGTTTTCGGGATGACTAATGGTCTTCCACTCTTCACGGCTTATGATTTTGGCCGTGAAGTTTGTGTTAAAGGTGTACTTCGGAGTCATGTGGTCCGTGCACATATTCAATATGTGCTCCTCCTTTTGTTCCGGAATTTCTGTTCGGTCCGATCTTTTATAGTTCGGTGAGTTTTCCAGTCTGAATTGGCTCATCCTGGCCTCCCCCATTATCACAAGGTGTAAAGGAGGTAGATCCAGGAGTGTCTCCAATGCAGCTGTTGGGGTAGTTCTCATTGCTCCCGTTACTCCCAAATATGCAAGTCTTTGCACCTTGCCTAGTTTGTTGACGGCGGTCGCCTGCTTCATCTTTGGCCACCAGACCAGAGATGCGTATGTTATCATGGGTTTAATCACCATCGTGTATAGCCAATATACCATGACTGGTTTTAGCCTCCATGTTTTTTCATAGGTGCGTCTGGCGAGCATTAGTGCTACCTCCGCTTTCCTCTTTATCCTGTCCACCATACTCCCCAGACCTCTTGGCAACCGACTACCATCTTTTCAAGCACTTTGATAACTCTCTCTTCCGTAGAACCTTCGTCGATCATGACCAGGCAAAACGGCCTTCGTCGACTCCATCGAACTCCTAGTACCCAATTTTTATGCTGACGGAATTGATCGACTTGTGCAAACGTGCACTGATTCAAATGACCTCATTTTGATTGAATTTATTAATTTTTGATAGGGATATTACAGTTTAAAGTAGACTCATAAAACAGAAACAACTTTTGAAACAACCTGATACTATTTCTTGATACTGGGTAATTTCAATAAGTGTACTTAGTCGGGCGCAGGCCCAATAGCGATAGTTGTGACGATTAACAAAAAAACACCCATCAATTCAAAAAGCTGATTCTCTCTGAAATATATGTTTTAGGTTTGAGTGAAGCATCAAGGAAATCTTTTTGGTTTCACATACCAGGAGTTTCTAACATGAACCACCCTCGAAGTTATAAACTTACCAAAAATGGAGACACGGAAGAGTTCATAAAGGATTTCAATCTGACAGCGGCCATGTCTCTTTTGAAATGGGTAAAAACAAATCACACGACGGGCCAGTGCAAAATTTTGAGCCCTTACGGAAAAATTCCTCTGACTGTGTTCGATTTCGCAATAAACGAGTGCTATAAGTTTATCAAGAAAAAGAACCATGAAGGTAACTGTTCAAACCAAGTTCAGAATTACAATGTTATTTTATTTCTGCCTGTTATAACTCTGGGACTGGTCTCAGATGTGGGTCCAAAGTGAGTGGGTCTCAGATGTAATGTCTTTCATTATGCTCTTCCTATCTTTAAATATAACATCGTATGAATCAGGCTGAATTTGACCGATGACATGGGTTATGTTGGCTTTGAGGAACGCTGTGATTTGTGACTTATTCGCATACAACTGCAACTCAAGAAAACCCCTCAAAAAAAAAGTCTAGCGGGTCAAATCGCACGATCTCGGTTCACATCATCTCCACGTGAGATGACCATGCCCGCAAATCGCTCGTGCAGAATATCCAATATGGTATAAGTGGTGTAACTATGAAAGATGGGCTAGTGTACATACCTCTATGCAGGATGTGTGAACTGGAAGATGAAACTGTCAGGCATGTCCTATGCGAGTGTCCGGAGTTATCGTCAATAAGAGAGTATGTGTTCGGCGAGTCTTGGCCTACAGCTGCCGATATAAAGGAGATGTCTCCCAGTAACCTGTCCACCTTCCTGGGAAAGACAGGATGGACAATGACCTAGGAGGACAACTCTTCGGGAGGATGTACAATGGGTCACATGTGGCCTGAGTGCTGTGGGCCTACACTCACCTACACTGACCTAGGAGGACATCTCTTCGGGAGAATGTAGAATGGGTCACATGTGGCCCAAGTGCTGTGGGCCTACACTCACCTACACTGACCTAGGAGGACATCTCTTCGGGAGAATGTAGAATGGGTCACATGTGGCCCAAGTGCTGTGGGCCTACACTCACCCTTCCTACTCTACAGATACAGATGGTATGAGTTGTGTAGCACGCAGCGCCGTCCTGTTGAAACCACATGTCGTTGGTGTCCAGATCATCCAAATCAAGCCAGAAGAAGTTGGTAATCATCGACCTATAGTGCTCGCCTATGACAGTGATGACCTGGCCAACGTCATTCTCAAAGAAATATAGACCGATGATGTCAACCCAAAATCCACTCCAGTGGCTCCAGTGGACGCTTTTCGATCTCATGTGGATTGCTATCGTCCCAAATTCCACAATTTTGTTTGTTCACGTTCCCATTCATTCAGAAATGGGCTCTTCGCTGAAGAACCAGACCAACTGCTCCAAAACCCATTCATCAAACAGAACACACGTCGTTGTCTACCTTCAGTTCCTGGGTCAATTGAATTTTGTACGGGTACAGGCCTGAGTCACGACGCAAAGTTTGCCTAGTTGAGGTATGCGAAAAGCCAAGTTCTTGTGAACGACGTGAAATCGACTGCCTCAGATTCTCCCGCATACTCTCACAGACAGCGGCGATATTTTCGGCAGATCTTGGGTTTTTTTCGATGTACAAGTATTGATCGATCGTTTACTGAACCAGGGGACTCAAGTTTATTCACCACATTGTGAATAGTCCTCTTGGTAGGACGATTATGGCGACCTTAAAATGGGCGAAGCTCGCGATACGTTGCCCAAAAACCACCCATTTCAATAAAACAATTTCATTATTTGCACGTGTGTTTGCATGGTGATTTACCAAAGCAGACTCGAAGATTGGAAGACACTATACAAGCGATATATACAAAACATAATGCTTATATAATTTCATCTATTCTGAATACTTCTACAGTTTACTTCTTCGCATAGCATTCTCAGTCATTTTTCATGAGGATAGAGTATTCTCCATTATATTTTATAATGATGTGTAGTCGAAATAAATGTATCATCAACTTCAAGCAACTCGAATTTGGTTTGGCCATTAGTCAATTTATCTAGTCTTATCCACAATTTCTCCGTTGATACTCTGGAATATAGATGATAAACAACGGTATTTTCTTGAAAGAAAAGTACTACTTAATCTTCGCTCGATTTTCATTTTGCTCTTTCCAATTCTATTCAACAACAGATATGGTCTTCCACTCTTTACGGCTTATGATTTTGGCCGTGAAGTTTGTGTTAAAGGTGTACTTCGGTGTCATGTGGTCCGTGCACATATTCAATATGTGCTCCTCCACTTGTTCCGGAATTTCTGTTCGGTCCGATCTTTTATAGTTCGGTGAGTTTTCCAGTCTGAATTGGCTCATCCTGGCCTCCCCCATTATCACAAGGTGTAAAGTAGGTAGATCCAGGAGTGTCTCCAATGCAGCTGTTGGGGTAGTTCTCATTGCTCCCGTCATTCCCAAACATGCAAGTCTTTGCACCTTGTCTAGTTTGTTGACGGCGGTCGCCTGCTTCATCTTTGGCCACCAGACCAGAGATGCGTATGTTATCATGGGTTTAATCACCATCGTGTATAGCCAATATACCATGACTGGTTTTAGCCCCCATGTTTTTCCATAGGTGCGTCTGGCGAGCATTAGTGCTACCTCCGCTTTCCTCTTTATCCTGTTCACCATACTCCCCAGACCTCTTGGCAACCGACTACCATCTTTTCAAGCACTTTGATAACTCTCTCTTCCGTAGAACCTTCGTCGATCATGACCAGGCAAAACGGCCTTCGTCGACTCCATCGAACTCCTAGTACCCAATTTTTATGCTGACGGAATTGATCGACTTGTGCAAACGTGCACTGATTCAAATGACCTCATTTTGATTGAATTTATTAATTTTTGATAGGGATATTACAGTTTAAAGTAGACTCATAAAACAGAAACAACTTTTGAAACAACCTGATACTATTTCTTGATACTGGGTAATTTCAATAAGTGTACTTAGTCGGGCGCAGGCCCAATAGCGATAGTTGTGACGATTAACAAAAAAACACCCATCAATTCAAAAAGCTGATTCTCTCTGAAATATATGTTTTAGGTTTGAGTGAAGCATCAAGGAAATCTTTTTGGTTTCACATACCAGGAGTTTCTAACATGAACCACCCTCGAAGTTATAAACTTACCAAAAATGGAGACACGGAAGAGTTCATAAAGGATTTCAATCTGACAGCGGCCATGTCTCTTTTGAAATGGGTAAAAACAAATCACACGACGGGCCAGTGCAAAATTTTGAGCCCTTACGGAAAAATTCCTCTGACTGTGTTCGATTTCGCAATAAACGAGTGCTATAAGTTTATCAAGAAAAAGAACCATGAAGGTAACTGTTCAAACCAAGTTCAGAATTACAATGTTATTTTATTTCTGCCTGTTATAACTCTGGGACTGGTCTCAGATGTGGGTCCAAAGTGAGTGGGTCTCAGATGTAATGTCTTTCATTATGCTCTTCCTATCTTTAAATATAACATCGTATGAATCAGGCTGAATTTGACCGATGACATGGGTTATGTTGGCTTTGAGGAACGCTGTGATTTGTGACTTATTCGCATACAACTGCAACTCAAGAAAACCCCTCAAAAAAAAAGTCTAGCGGGTCAAATCGCACGATCTCGGTTCACATCATCTCCACGTGAGATGACCATGCCCGCAAATCGCTCGTGCAGAATATCCAATATGGTATAAGTGGTGTAACTATAAAAGATGAGCTAGTGGACACACCTCTATGCAGGATGTGTGAACTGGAAGATGAAACTGTCAGGCATGTCCTATGCGAGTGTCCGGAGTTAACGTCAATAAGAGAGTATGTGTTCGGCGACTCTTGGCCTACAGCTGCCGATATAAAGGAGATGTCTCCCAGTAACCTGTCCACCTTCCTGGGAAAGACAGGATGGACAATGACCTAGGAGGACAACTCTTCGGGAGGATGTACAATGGGTCACATATGGCCTAAGTGCTGTGGGCCAACACTCACCTACACGGACCTAGGAGGACAACTCTTCGGGAGAATGTACAATGGGTCACATGTGGCCCAAGTGCTGTGGGCCTACACTCACCCTTCCTACTCTACAGATACAGATGGTATGAGTTGTGTAGCACGCAGCGCCGTCCTATTGAAACCACATGTCGTTGGTGTCCAGATCATCCAAATCAAGCCAGAAGAAGTTGGTAATCATCGACCTATAGTGCTCGCCTATGACAGTGATGACCTGGCCAACGTCATTCTCAAAGAAATATAGACCGATGATGTCAACCCAAAATCCACTCCAGTGACTCCAGTGGACGCTTTTCGATCTCATGTTGATTGCTATCGTCCCAAATTCCACAACTTTGTTTGTTCACGTTCCCATTCATTTAGAAATGGGCTCTTCGCTGAAGAACCAGACCAACTGCTCCAGAACCCATTCATGAAACAGAACACACGTCGTTGTCTATGGTCGTTTACCTTCAGTTCCTGGGTCAATTGAATTTTGTACGGGTACAGGCCTGAGTCACGACGCAAAGTTTGCCTAGTTGAGGTATGCAAAAAGCAAAGTTCTTATGAACGACGTGAAATCGACTGCCTCAGATTCTCCCGCATTATCTCACAGACAGCGGTGATATTTTTGGCAGATCTTGGGGTTTTTTCGATGTACGAGTATTGATTGATCGTTTACTGAACCAGTAGACTCAAGTTTATCCACCACATTGTGAATAGTCCTCTTGGTAGGACGATTATGGCGACCTTAAAATGGGCGAAGCGCGCGGTACGTTGCCAAAAAAACACCCATTTCAATAAAACAACTTCATTATTTGCACGTGTGGTTGCATGGTGATTTACCAAAGCAGACTGGAAGATTGGAAGACATAGTGTCTTCCAATGTCTTGCATATCGCTTGTATAGTACAAGCGATATATACAATACATAATGCTTATATAATTTCATCAATTCTGAATCCTTCTACACTTTACTTGTTCGCATAGCATTCTCAGTTATTTTTCATGAGGATAGAGTATTCTCCATTATATTCTATAACGATGTGTAGTCGAAATAAATGTATCATCAACTTCAAGCAACTCGAATTTGGTTTGGCCATTAGTCAATTTATCTAGTCTTATCCACAATTTCCCCCTTGATACTCTGGAATATAGATGATAAACAACGATATTTTCTTGAAAGAAAAGTACTACTTAATCTTCGCTCGATTTTCATTTTGCTCTTTCCAATTCTATTCAACAACAGATATCGATCACGACATAAATGAAGCGATGTCCAGGGAATGGAACGACTTCTTGGAACACTATTACAGAACCGTCCATATAGGAAACCACTTCAAGCTAACCGGTGATGTAACAGAGAACGATTTAGTGAGGAAAGCATCCTTTATCTTGGAAAGGCTGAAAGATCATTGGCCCTATCTGGAGATGGATGGACTGATGAACCTTTGGATCCTGAAACCGACAAACAGTAGCCAAGGTGTTGGCATTCACATGTGTCGTACTCTGAAATATGTTTTGGACGTGGTCAAAGCTAATCCAAATAGGAGATACGTCATACAGAAATATGTTGGTGAGTTACTCTGAGATTTATGTCCTTTCATTGTTGAAATTGTCAGGGTTAACAATGAGTTTTTTGAACGTGGTCGGAGATTCCATATACTGGAACTGAATTATTAAAGAAACAAACCAAGTTATAATTCGGGCAAGATAAGCAAATGAAATCATCTAGATTCAAAATAATAGTAATCTAGTTTCATGTCGATGATACGGGATTATCGTTCGGTTAGAAATTCCTATCTACAGATCATAGTGAAAGCACAAAAATATACAATATATTGAAAAATTCAATTATATTTTCTGTGTTCATGATTTGGTTTCATTGCATTGCCAAAATATGAATAATCAATGTTAATGCCTACAAGTTAGTGTAATTTAAAAATGAAGAAAAATTTTTTTGGTGAGAATTGGCTCCACGCGGTATCAGGCGTTTCAAAAATCACCTGTTGCCACGAAGGTTAACGTTGAAGTTCAAGTTAAAGTGCATTTTCTTCATTTCAGACCATGTCATTAAAGCTGCTGTTTGGAAATGTTTCTCTATTAAAAATTTATTTTGAATGTTTTATTCAACTCTGTACATTTCTCAGATCATTTAATTCAATGCGTCATTGTTGCATAGTTGAAGCCTATAACATTTGTTCGAGTACCACCGAACTATCTCTAATCTTTGCAAAATTAGAAGTTTTTGAAATTGTTATGGCACTCATGTTGTTTTTCTGTTTTCCGACATTTTGAATTTTTCTTTGACCCTTTCATCTGATATCGTATCGTATTGTTTTCAGCAAACTCTTTCATTTTATACCAATATTATGAGACTGTACAAAAAATTTTCCGCCATATTGAATACATTCATTTCATTTTCCGTATTCTTTTCAGAAAACCCTGTCATTTGCTACCCATATAATGCGGTACCAGTCCGCCATTTTGAGCGGCCCGTCATACTGCATGTAGAATGACGTCACTCAGCTTATCATGCATTGTCATCCAAAATCAACATGTATGCCAAATTTCATTTCAATCGGTTGAGGATAACTGCTTTAAAATTCAGTTGCATAATTTGAACGAACTAACATATACGAACGCGCACATACATTATATATTGCAAGTTAAATAAATGCTTGTGAAACAAAATGTATTCATTGAAAACTCGATGTATTATTTATTCATGTACAACATTTTATATTTTTAGAGCGTCCACTGTTGATTTATAACACGAAATTTGATATCAGACAATGGTTTTTAATAAGCAGCTGTGTTCCACTGACAATATGGATTTATAGGTAGGTACGATTCAAAGATAGGTTATTATTTTATCTGTGATATCGCTTTCATTACTTTCAGGCAATGCTATTTAAGGTTCAGTTCACAGACGTATAATCTGAGAAAGTTGCATGAATCTATACATCTAACGAACAATTCGGTTCAATCCAGATACAAAAAAGCTTCAACGGATATAATATTACCTTCCTACAATATGTGGGATTCTTCTCAGTTCAAAAACTACTTATCCAGTGAGTATAACATAATATCACATTCGTGAATCCACTGATGATATTACCTCAATAAACATAGCATATTTTTACTTTTTGAGTAAAATAACAATTAACGAAAATGTCAATCCATCACATTTAAACAATGTAACTACAAACGAACAAACCTGCTAACACCCGAATGAATTGAGATGTTCTGTGATCGTGTGTAAAAATTATGCAAGTTCTTATATTCATCGGCGAGCCCACCCACTGATCCGATAGATTCGTCTATTAGTCCGTTCAAAACTTTAGCGTCTTTTTACTGTCTGAAGCAATTCATCGTAATTTTTATATTGAATTCAGGAATTTTTCCTCTTCGTTAAATACGCTTTTTTACTTGGGGTCACACAAGAGTGAACTGAATCGGTCAGATCATCAAAAATTATAATTTATTCATTATTATTCGATTGTATCCGATCAAGACATTTGCTCAGTGACATTTCGAAAATCGCCTCTCGAGCATGATAAGTAGATACTAATGAATATTTAGAAAATCAGTGCAATTTCAGATGTTGGATATCCGCAAGCATTTGATGACATCATCTACCCAGGTATGAAGGAGAGCATCACTGCAGCCGTCCTAATGCATCAGGAATCATTTGATCAAAGACGGAACACGTTCGAATTATTCGGAGCTGATTTTATCGTAACTGAAGATTTCAAACCGTGGTTGTTGGAGATCAACTCGAATCCGGCATTGCATGCGTCTACTCCGATCACTGCTCGAATGTGTCCGTTAGTTTTAGAAGATGTTATAAGAGGTGAGGAAATTGTATATAGTGTTTAATTTATTTGAAATCAGTAACTGGTTTTCTCAAGTTGGTTTTTGCCATTAACTTTTATGTAGATTAGGTATATACAACGAGTTGTTGCCCGCGGCTTCGCCCACGTGGAATTTGGTTGTCACATTAAGTTTCGTGACAAATCATTTCAAACAAATAGTAAAAATATTTTTTCATCAACCTGAAACTTCAGGTTTCCATATTCAAAACTGACAAGATTCAATACAATCTTTGAACCCCCTTCATTTTTTTCCCTTGGAGTGGAAAATCCTAATTCTGTTTCTTGGTGCTTATTTGTGCTATATAAAGAACATACCTACATATTTCAAGATTCTTGGTTCAGTAGCTTCGGCTGTACGTTAATATAATAGCGGGCACCATTTAGTAATTTATATTTTCACTTAAAAAATACAGTAACTAAAAAAATATGCCAGCTGCACTAAGTAATAAATAGCTTCAAGAATTGAATTATGTTACCTAGAAAGAAATTCACAAAACCAACACAACCGTCAACGTCTGTTCGCATTCTTGGCGATGGCGCTTCGTTGCTAAGACCGCCTCTCTACCCCCCGCGCTCGTCCCCCGTCGTCTTACAGTAGACGCGACGCACAATGGCTTACTACCTTGCGTCAAGTCAAACTTGTATTCATAGCTCATTATTTTGCATATAGTGGCTAATACATAAGAGATAGATATATGCCATCGCGCACTATTTAATTAAATTATCTGCTTGTAACTCCAACGCTTATTCATGTATGTTAATTCATAAATTATAAAGAAATTCTCAAAACCAACACAACCGTCAACGTCTGTTCGTATTCTTGGCGATGGCGCTTCGTTGCTAAGACCGCCCCTCTACCCCCCGCGCTCGTCCCCCGTCGTCTTACAGTAGACGCGACGCATAATGGCTTACCGCCTTGCGTCAAGTCAAACTTGTATTCATAGCTCATTATTTTGCATATAGTGGCTAATACATAAGAGATAGATATATGCTATCGCGCACTATTCAATTACATTATCTGCTTGTAACTCCAACGGTATAGGCAGAACACGCCAAGATAGCTCCCAGGAATCTATACGATTATTCATGTATGTCAATTGTCGCAGAGAGAAATTTCTCCGTTTTTTTTTCAACTCGATTCGACCTTCAATTTGAAAAGCTTAAAAACACATTGAACTCCAATATTAATGAAATACCAATAATTTTAGAAAATTGACCACCACCGTCTACCTCCTTATCGATAATGATAAAAACAATCCTTAGAAAGCATCAGTTACTCAAATTTTGACAACTGAAAGGCCCTCTCTGTGGAAAATTGGAACTAAAGAAAGTTAACACTCCATTTGTTAACCAATCACCACCACGGGTATTTCTTAGGCGGATAAAAAAATTGGATATTTTCAACTTCATTTTATAAGAAATTAAAGTAATATTTGTAATAACAAGCACCTTTCATAACTTCATTGGGGTTACCGTACTTGAAAATAATTCAAAACAGAAATACGTTGTTTCCTATTCAACTGTGAATCAAAATCATCGTCTATAGAGAGCAATCAATTTGCGTGTATACTTGCAGTCGCTCAATAAATGTTACATCTATTACAAATTTATTGAGCACAATTGCTAATGGAACAAAACAAACCTGTAATCTAACCTAGCCAAAGTTAGAGTCAACTATTGCAAGTAAAACATGAGAAACATATTATGTATTACTTAAATCGAATAGTTGTTATATTACAAGTTACAGCAGAACTACAACACTCTTCTTGACGCACCTTTCACCAACCAAGTTAGTGTCCTCAGGAGTAGACACAGTATACTTCATGATGAGTATGTTGTATGTTATTTACTGTCTCATTTATAATCTTTATTTGAAATAGGAACTTCCTAATTTACATACATTTATAATATTTGTGATTAGGAATAAAACATACTTAATGCTAAATAAAGAATGCTAAAATATAAAAATACACCTATAGTGTCACAATCATCAGATATTAAAATATACACATATTATACTCATTTACTCATAGGCTCAGTAGACATGAGCAACACAACCAGTCTCACACACATGCCTTCATAATTCATCTTTTTACATGTACAGTGGTGAAATGAATTCATTTAGACGAATTTTGAAAGTGTTTAGAGAAACAATTGCTCACGAGAGTTATCGAAACAGGAATATATTTGATAGTTATTCTTTCATCGCATATTAGAATGACTGCAAGTCTTGGGAATTCATTCATCAATAAATAAAATATCCAGACTTCAAATAGTTCAAAATAAGATATTCAATGGTTATGAAATTTTCATATTAGGTAAGAGCATATTCAAAGAAAAAACTTTTGTGGTCAGTCACCTATTTGACAAAAAAGATGAATAGTAAAAAGTTTATTACTAGAATTGGACTGTCAACAGTAAAAAACATCAGCTATTCTAAATCAACTAAGCTAATTGAACTAGTCTGCTTTAGATTGTTCATCTCTTTTCTTTGCTTCCAATTCTTGGAGCTGTTCCAGTGTGAGCAAAGAAACCCCCAACTGGTCCTCCCTCGTAAAAGGCTGAGCCATTTGTCTGAGCCATCTCTTTGCCAATTGTATGGCTTCTTCTGTGGATAAGTTACAGTAAGAGTCCTTCAAATGTTCTTGGATCCATTTGGGCAATTTGGTTCTCTTGTCTGCCCTAGAAAACCGTTTATCTGCAAAAATCATGATACCATAGTCAGTTTTCCCTCTGATGGCTCTCCCTACGCATTGCGAAGCATGTCTCAAAGCATCGAAGGTTAAAAAGTCGTTCTCACGAATCTGGAATTGATCTCGTAAATAGTCTAATCTAGCCTTCAATATCCTCGACTGGGTGTAAACGTAAGGAATACCAAACATCAAAACGGCTCTGCCTAGATGATGATCGAAATCTACCCCCTCTGATACTTTGCCTCTAGCTACAGATAACAGAACTGCGCCTCGCCCTGACTCGCAGGCTTTGATGTAGTACATCAAGGCAAAACTAGTTTCTGCTGAATCCTGGGTTTCTATGAAGAGCAGCTTATACCTCTGTAAACTATCGATGACCCCTTGATCATACCAACTTGCCACAACAGACTCAAGGTACATGTAGGAAGTGAAAAAACAAACTATTCCATCTGGTACGTTGGCTGCTACTTCAACGAGAAGTTGACCGTAGTTACGTATCACAGCGTTATCGTCTCTGGTTTCGAATTTGGAAGATATAGCTACTTGATCGTTGCCTTTCGAGACGATCATAGGAAGTAGACAAGGCCTTGCCAGGGTCATGGTAAAGGAAGTCATGATGACTGGATGGAAGTTGAGGATTTTTGGGTACATATCTAAGGGTGACAGTGTCCCAGAAGTTATCACTACTGTCTGAAACCTATCGAACACAGGTTTGATTGCTATCGAGCAGTCCAAGCAGCTGAAATAAAAAATGGGATTGGAAACGGTGGGGGTTTTATCATCGAAAGGCTCTATTATTATGGTGAACCCCTTGGTGTAAGTGGATACCAAAGTAGCCAGGTGTGTTATGAGAATAATAGGACTAAAGTCGGTCAGATCTGAAATTTCAAGTGTTCTCAGCAATGAAGCCAGTCTCTCAGCACAAAACCTCAGCGGCTTACGCTCTATACACACTTTGGCCTGCACATCCTTCAAAAACCCTATTGGGGATTCTTGCACCACATGTTGCACCCTTAACCGTGTTTTTATATACTCTACAAAACATTTCAGAAAACTTATGAAGTGCTCTGCATTCCTTATGTTACCGGGAACAGCTTCTTGGAGAATTTCTTCAGGTAGAACAGGATTGGAAAGTATTACATCAGTTTCTCTGGCTAAGCTTGCATCTCTCAGTCCTTGAACTAGCCTCTGATATTCCTCCTGGAGTTTTTTGTGGTCGTCTTCCCTCATTTCAGCAACTGTTTTTTCCAACAGCTGGATATTTGCAGAAGCTTTTTCAATAGTTCTTTTATGAATTTTAACACTCATAGAATCAATGCAGACGTTGTCTATGTTATGAGCTTCGTCAAACACTACGATAGCCTCCTTGGCCAATTCCTTAGACACCACATCAGCTATCTTTGGATCCAAGAGGTAGTGGTAGCTGTAGACAACGATATTGGCGTATGTAATGGCAAATCGTGCTAGGAAATATGGACACCAATTCCTGTCTCTACCGAACTGTTTCAAGTCTTCCAAACTGTATACGCCATGGGGTAAAGTAGATTCCTTCCCGTCCAAAGAAAATCCTTCGTAGAACTGACATATAGGAGTACTGTCATCATGGCTGTGTCTTTCTCTAATATAACTCGCAGTCAGAGAATGGCATTTTCCATCCACGATTTTTCCTTCCCTCTCCGAACTGACTTGGGGATGTATGCAAAGATTCTTTCGCGACGACAGAACAAGTCCGGAGAAATTAGGATACTGACCGTCTAGTTTTTCATAATAGAGTAAAAGTTTCTTCAATTCCTCCATGACTTTCTCGATTTCAGGTACAGTTCTCGAACAGTAAATGAGTTTCCTCACTTCGTGAGGATTTTCCCTCATATAAGCCACTATAAGAGCCAATAGTGTGACTGTCTTTCCTGTCCCTGAAGGCATTTCCAATAAACAGTGGCCCTTGGCATCTAGAGCTTTTTTTAACTCACACATATACGAGTATTGCTCGGGATAAATGTAGTCATAAGGGAAATATACAATTAGGCCGTCTACGCTCAGCCTCATTTTTGCAGATGAATATCAATATCTGTTGTGAAATGTATTCCTTGAAATTATTGAATTTTGAACGTTTAAGTTTAAGGTTAGAATAAACAACATCTACTCTTTCTCTCTCTAGGTTATATTGGCTATTGCTTTCCTGCGGCGCATTTAGCCAGCTCAATTCGAAAGGGTTACGCTAGTTGCACACACACACCGATTTTGGACGGCCGATTTTGTACCGGTCGTCCAAATTACAATAGTGAACCACATGTGGTAACGGGATCTGGCACACACGCCGACCGGTGATCGTCGCCGGTAAAATACCGGTGAGCAGCCGTCCACTGCCACTGTATCGCCGGCAGTACCGGGAAGTAGTGGCGTACATAACTAAATGCACTCTTGCATACTCACCGGTTTTTTACCGACCATACCAGTCTCGAATGCTCGGTGAAATTATAGTTACTACGCATTAACTTCTTTTTGGTAGTGCGTGCTATTTACGACAACAAAGCAACTGATTGTTTGACCGATAAAAATCCGGTGAGTGTGCAAGCACTCGCTACCAATAAAGTATCGGCTGATTTTATACTGGCCGTCCAAAATCGGTGTGTGTGCAACTAGCGTAACAGCGTTGTCTAATCGATGATTATGCTGTAATCTGTTTTGCTTTTTGGAATTTATTCGTTCTTCTGAGACGTCTAATTCTTCTGTGTATCTTCGTGTGCTACAAGATAAGTGGACTTAAAAACAGATGGCACAAACAAGAGGAATGATTATGATTGGAAATGGGAAGGAAATGAATGAAACTAAATGAGTTGAGGAAAATCATAATTCGACTTTGTTCTATAAATTGTATTGATATTTTTAATATCGAAAAATTTAAACCATGTAAAATTGTTGTGATACTCATGGGGGCAGCAACGTCCTTTGGCATGAAACCATGATACAAGTCTCTGTTCGGGGTCATATTAATCGGACATACCAGGAAAATGTGGTTTAACGATACTACTTCTATTCGCAGTTAGGGTGATCTACAATCTTCAACCTGAATAGGTGTTGTTTATATACACAATGTCCCGTTTTCATCCGACAAGAGTAAGACCAACTTTTTGTTTATTGGTGGTAAAACTTTCTGAATCCGAAATCGACAGTAGATGTACACTTCACATAAAACTTTTTTTTGTGTGTGAAACTACAATCACCGTATTTTCTTAATCCGAAATGCATTAATCATGTTTTTATTACAGCAAAATATTTCCCCATTAATTACTAATGAAATAAGAATATTTCCTTATCGATTACTAACTGAAAAAATGTTATTAAAGTATATATGACTTTATTATCATTTCATTATTGCACATTTTATGCAAATACATATGATCCACTATTGCTTGTTGCTGGCTTTTATCATCCATTAGCATTAGCGCAAGTAGAAGCGTGTTCTAGTCACTAGTATATAGATTTATGTCTGTGAAAAACTTTCGACAACGTGCCTACAGACAGCTAACTATAGTAAATAAGTCGCCAGCTCGAAATGGATGGCTGTCTCCAGAGGTTAATAGTTGAGGTATAATTAACGTATGGCAGCCGTTGGAACTTGTCTCTTGTCATTTGAAAGGAAAAACATTTTCACCATTTCCTAGACTGTAATTTGGAAATTCCAACTCTACACTCAAAATTTGGACCATAACCTAACCTGCACAACAAAAGCAGCCGTCGAGAGCTTCCAATCCATGACAGGGGAGCCAAGTTGCAACTATCACGAGATACAAGAGTTCTCTCTCTCTCTATGATGATGGCTTTTGCTACCGTTGAGGTGCATTAAGCCAAGATACAAGAGTTCAGAGAAATTTTCTCTACAGGCCTGTGACACTATGGAATTTTTGGTATTTCTTAAGAATATTTCGATCTGGGGAATTTTAGTTATTCAAGAAATACCAAAAAATTTTCAGGTCTGGTATTACTTGACTCAGATAATATTTATAATTAGAATCAAAGGGAGTACTGTGATTAATAATTAATACTGAAATCGCTTTCGGGATCCTCCCTTCGCAAGATCCGTGTCAAAACATTTTCTCCTGAAAGTGAAAGAAAGATGAGTAGTGTCCTAAGTCAGTAATTCATTACACTTCATGCTCCCATATTATTTCACTAGACACCATTTATTCTTTAATAATATCAAATGAATATAGACGTATTTGGGGGAGTTCATAAGTTGAGTTTTTGGAATTATTACATTTTATATAAGAATACTTGCTATCCCGTTACCCAAGATTTAAAAAATATATATGCAAGTTATTAGCGAATCACACACAAAAAGAAACACAAATAGAAAAAAAGATAATCAATGTGGAGGTATTGTTTTTTCATTGTGTTGAATAGAAACTTATCGATTACAAATAACCTCAATATTACTAATACTTGAAATTTTTATAACAAAAAATTTTATTCTCAGTTGTTATTGATCATCAAAGAGACGGAAAGAAAAACACAGGAGGATTTGAACTGCTTTATCAACAGCAAACAGTCTCTTTATGCAAAACCGGTCCACTACAAGTTGAAGGAACGCATCTTAAAGAAGATTACTTTTCTGATCCGCCTACAGTTTCAGAGAAAAACAGCACAAAAGTACAAACCAGCGATAAATTAGAACCTGTAACGTGCATCAGAGAATTGGGGATCGGCATGAGAAACACACTAGAGAACTTGCTGACCATTTTGAAACAGGAAAAACTCAAGCGACTCAAACGGAGGAACATAAGCATCGAAACTTTATTATCAAACACAAGTATTCAAACGCAAACATCATTGGTTAATAATAAAATAAAAACCTGAACATATACAGAATGACTTTCCATTTTCCCTAGTAATGATCAAATTGTTTTCTAATAACTTTTGATTGTCAAATAAATGACCTTCACTGATGAGGTTTATTCAATATGCCACTTCTGAAAAATAAATTTTACTTCACACACTCTTTAATTTTTGTATAATAATCATTCACTGCTTATGGAGCATATCATTACCCTGAGTAATTTAGTTACCACCATTGATTCACAACTGACCCAAATAATTGATGTCTATCTGTTAATAGATTTGTTAAAAAAGAAATATTCTATATTTACTATGAAAAAAGGTTATCAAGTTGATAACTATACCCTATAAAAAATGTACATGACCCTTTTACAATCATATAAAAAGTTTCTGGAAAATTATTGAAAGCTCAAAAAACCAAAAAAATAATATATCAGAGGAGTGAAGAAGAGCTTTTTAATTATCAAAATGATTCTTATGTAAAATGGTAAATATTACACTATTTATATTACATTTAAACTTAACTTACTCATTATTCGCAATATTTACAGAATTATGAATTACACTTATTTTCACAGCACCAACAGCAAAAGTAGCTAAAGAACAGGTTTAAGAGAAAAGGATAATTTAGGCCTGGAATTATTTTTTCCCAGTATTTTCTTCTGTTCCTCTTTTGTCCTCTTTTCCTGTTCTTTCCTTAGTCTCTGCCTCTCCTCGTCTATTTTTCTCTGTTCCTCCACCATTGCTAACCTTTCTTCAGCCTGTCGAGATAAAATATTTAATGGTAACTCAATAAAAAAAATTACATGATCAAATGTCATTAGTGACGTTGAGTCAAGTAACTAGGTTTACAAAACTCTTATAATTTTTTTGATTTTGAATGGTTAATAATATCTTTGCAAAAAAATTCAATATACTGATGATTTTATCAAAATACAAAATTTTCACAAGATCAAATTACCAATTTTTTATTTGGATTGCTTTACTCAATTGTTTTTCATATGTAGTTCATTAGAATTTTATTATTGACTTATTCTATATCATGTATGATCTCAAAGAAAGAATAAATATCATTATAATTAGGAGTGGAAGTTCGAATTTCATCCAACATTTGTTTTCACTTTCAGATTGATTGAGTATATTGCTAAATGGTTCTTGTAGTGCTTATTAGGTCTGACAAAATCAGATTTGGATGTTTCAGCTTATTTTTTACCAAATGAACAAAAATCAGTTTTCTGTTAGGTATTTTTACAGCAAGAAATATCTTATTTTTCATGAAATTCCAGTTAATGAAGCTATTTGCCTCCTTGATCACGACTAATATTATATATACATTTTCTGCATGCTGATTTTAGATTTGAAGTCAGATTTTTTGTACCGGCCTTAGTTTTTTGATATAAGAAATACATGATTTTTTGGAAAAAATATTTTAATTAATAACAATCGTTTGAAAAACAAGCACTATTTATCAAAAAAATTTCATTTATAGGATATTTTTTCTTGACTTGGTTCTCAATGGCTATTTTTATTGCTACATGAGGGCATCCCGGTGACCCTGGTACTGGTCCAGGAAAATGATCCAAATGGCTGTGTAGGAAGTGTACCTTGATAATCATATTACAACCAAACAGAAGTGCGAAAATATTTTTTCAATATGAGTGAACCATCGAGAATTCCAGCTTTCAGTTCTTCTGTAATCATGAAACTTTTTAGAGATGTATTAAAAAATCACCATTCTTATTCGGAGCTTCTTGCTTAATGAGCACCAATTTGATATGCGATCCCTAATTAGCTAGAATTTCCAATGCTTTCTTAGAAAGACCAAGGTCCCTCCAATGTGTTGAGCTCTTCCAGATTAAAGGGCTCAGGAGAAATATGTAGATGAAAATCGGTTGTTCCACTTTCATCAATTGAAGAAGCTGCTTTTTAATCTAGGTCGTGATCATTTTGTGTAGATGAAGATGCTTGTGGCATTGGTGCATCGCCAGACTACAGGATTAGTCGACTAAGGGTATAACCATTTGAACCGTTTCCCCTTATTATTTCCGTTCATATCAACCACGCAAAAAGAACAATCGTTCTGATGATTTGAGGCAATCCGGCAGATTATTGGTGTTTGATGCTTGAAAAAGGAGTGTTTCTTATTCGCCCCCAATATCAAAGATTCCACACATTTTTTACATGATATTGGTCACCCAGTACTTGTCACGGGAGTCCATGGAAATCCAAAGTAATCAAGATACACGCGTTTTACGAACTTCTGACACACTTAGTCTACAATTTTTTCTATGTATATTCACTACAGATGTTACAGAAACAGTAGGGATCGTTTTTACAGATATTTTTCGATGTAGACTGTAACAAAACATCAATTTGTGGAAGAATCACTTGGTTTTATGAAAGTTAAGTGTATCTAGTCCACAAATATAGTCAATAGGTGTATCTCAAAAACTAGAACTATTGGAAAAAAGGGAAGATGGATTTGAAATCGGCGACCTCGAATATGTAAACAACAGCCATGATATTCAACACAACAAAAAACAAATGACTTTTGTTCCCTTGTGTAATTAAACCAAGATATTTCACCCAGTATGTATTCAATATTGTCATTATAAAATCTGATTAGATCTTCTGAATCAAATGATGTTGGACCCTTTGTTATAAACAAATATAAGTATTTCTAAAATTTCAGTGATAACGTATGATGTTGAGAGCAAAATGATATTAAATGTATGCCTTGTTTACTACTTCCACTGCAAATTGATGCAGTTTCATGGACAAACATTTCTTTTTTACCTAATTACTTACTGTTTCCAAAGAATTAATATACAAAAGGAACAGAGCAGGTCCATGAATTCAATATGGTACCCATATTGAAAATTACATTTAGAAGAATGCAGTCCCCCAGTCATTAGTTTTTCGAAAATTGATTATACAATATATTCAAACAATCTGGAATGCACTGATGTTTAAATATTTCATAAAAGTAGAAATGTATTAGCAACTTCAACACAAACTGAACTACTTGTTGACCAGATAATTCTGGCAGTGAAACTATTAGTTAACGACTTGAAGAAGGAACTTTAATAAACTCAGTAACTTTACAAAACCAAAAGACAACTGTTAGTGTCTGTATACATCAAACTTGACAGCTCAGTCACACTCGCAATACTCCGATATATATCGGGTATTCGTTTAGTAGACATATCGAGCCGTTGAAGAGAACGAAATTTCTTTCTCTCTAACACGACTTACCAATTTCTTCTGAGCTTCCTCTATTTTCCTCTGGTTCTCTTCCAAGATTTTTTCGACCATTTCCTGTTTTTTCTTTTCTTCTTCCTATAAAACATTTGCAACAATTAATAACTTATACCCCTCATATTGCGTCCTGTGCCAGCTATCTTTCATTTCACAAAACCTTCGCAATAAAAATACTATGATACAAAATACAAAATGAAAGAGAATCGTTAGCTCAGAAGTTCTTTAGTGCAAAGGTTATAACAGAATATTTTTTATGAGTAAAGGGAAGACTATATTTGAATGTCGATTCGATAGTTCAAATGAAATTTTATAGTACAATGGGTGAGTTACTCTGTAATTACAGTAAACCAAATAAAAGTTCGCAAGATTAATTTTTCACACTTCTTATCGACTATTTATATATGCATTGTTCTCAATCTGTAATAAGTTTTTCCACTGATTTTCAAAGACTTATCATAGAAAATTTTTTGAAAATGAATGAAAGCTGTACCATAAACACGACTGTTTTGAAATTGCCTCCTGGTATACATCAGTTTTTTGGTACGGTATCACAAACATAATCTTCCCATGTATCATCATAAAATTACTCAGCACTAGTAACATTTGATGAATAATCAAACAATTAAATTACATTGTTAAAAATATTAGAAAAGGATATTAGAGCTCACCCAACTTATCTTTTTTGTCATAAAATTCAGCCCTAAGCATTTTATTTCAATTGGATTGATATCACATGCATACGTGCCTAATAGATAACTTCTTGTTTTGAAGTATTCAAAAACACTTTCTCTCAGTGGCTCTCCAACTATCAACATAATGCTAGAATGAATAATCACTCAGTTCAAACTTTTTTTCGGAAAAGTGTCACCGTTTTCCAGGTTTGGTGTAATCTCGTCTTATTTATCGACTGATACTTTTTTCAAATACGACAATTCGTGCATTTCACTGATTCTTCGAGATTCATAACTGACCCCAAATTCAAGATCGGAGACATGCCTGCAGACTATAATCCAAACCAAACCCACGGCATTTATGATTCAACACCAGACAGTGCTGTTTCGACCTGCCATAAGTATAATTAGTGGTACTAGGCTAAACTACAAATGCTTTGCAGGACTTAAATGTCAAGGACAAGCCTGAGTAAGGTCAACCACATCTCCACTAACAATAACGCCATCTAGGGGATCGACAGAGAACTCAATCCACGAATATTAAGGAGAAAGAAGGCTCCCCAAAACGGTCAATTGCAAAACCAAGCTTTGACATCGATCACTGACGAGATTCGTCTTCTATCTAGCTTTCACTACAAGGCAACTTGAAAACCAGAGCTCAAACAATGCATTAATGTTTCAACATCAGAGCGCTGTTTCAACCTTACTGTTTTGACCTTCTATAGGACTCCAAGCCTAAGTAATTGAGATCATAACATCTCCAACATAAAAAGAGCAAAATTTATTCAATAGAGGGTATCATTTTAAGTGTACCGTTCATAATAGACTTGACCTGTTTGGCTTATATAAGTCAAAATGTAAACCAATATCTTTAGTATAATAGATTCAACTTGATTGAATTATTGAAATCCACAAATTTAGTTTTCAAATTATATCTTAAATAATGATATTTCTGTATGCTGTTGGTATGTAATTTGTTTCTCTCAAGCCTATAGGACTCGCAGTTTTCAATGGTATGCCAGTACTTGCGTGCCGCTGTTTTACTCACATAGGATATTATGTGATTTTTCACTGTTTTTTACACTGGAAAGTTCAACAAAACATAGAAAATCTTTGAATTGTGAAGGATGCACCATCTAGCTGCGAATGCATAACCTGTTGAAAATTAAGAGGAAGATTTTTCAGTTGCATACCAAAATTCTGCTCTGAAAAAATTACAAAACTGTATTGATTTATTAAAAAAAGACCCCATTATATATTTGGCCTAGTGTCCAGTTTTGAAGCAATAGAACCCTATTAGTCAAAGGTGTACATAATCTCAATAATTATACTTTCAAGAAAACGTCTTTCAGTTGAACTAACATTCAGTTGACAAAATAAATCTCATAGGTCTTGAATAAATTTCTTCAATTTGTAGCCAATAGTTGAGTTCAATATCAAAATCAGAATAGGAGGTTGGAATATTATTCTGTACAATATTTTCTAATATATTTTTGATATCTCCAACACAAAGCAGAAGGTAAAAAACTGATCCCTAATTGAATTCAATATACAGATTTTAGATGAACGTCTATATCTATCTATATGGATATGTAAAAATTCAAATCTGCATTCCTGCGAATAGTGAAAATTCACGAATGTATCCGTTTATTTTTCAACTGCAAACAAACCTCTGAAGTTTTTCAAAATGTCGAGCCTTTTTTTACACCAACTTATTGCACTGTGAAAATTTTTAGAAAAACAAAAAACCCAAAAATGTACTGCCAACTAAATTATTATCATTTCTTCCGTTTTCAAAATAAAACCAATAGTATAAAATACTACTGTGATTTAACTCTGAACTTGCAAAACAATTCTCAAAGTATGCAAGTTCATTTCGGATTTCTTCAGAGACAACGTAGCATTCCCTATAAATATTGAGATGCGTATAAAAAATGGTTTGTTAATACCTGTGCCGCGAGAGGAGTCTTCCGCTGCAACGTCCGTTGAAAATCATCGCCTTTGCTTCACTATGTTCACACTCATGTTGACCCTTAGCTTACATGCTACTGGCATATTAATTACATAACTTTTCAAGAGACAATGTAGACACAAGGGTCGATCTACATTCTACCTATTTTCAGTTTGGAAGGGAGCTGAATTGCTTTCTCCTCATTTCGGAGTATGTTTTTGTGGTGGGTGTGGTTTTCAGTAATTTTTTGGAATTTATAAAAACTGTTCAGAAAACCGTTTCGATGTCTTTTCAACAAAAATATTAAATAACTTCGTGCTATCAATGTTGGAGACTTTGTCTTGGGAATTTATTTTCCCAAGAAACACACATGTTTGAAGTAGGTAAAAACCATGATTCAAAATGATAATGTAACTAAGTACAAAAAAAACTAATATTGATTCAAATTTCAACATTATACACATAAGCATTCACTTCAGTGAACACAAATAAATATATACAGTTTCGAAGCAATAAATATTTTTCAAATCAATTGGAAATTTTTGTTGGTAGCTCGTTTTAATCCATGATAAATTGATTTTGCCCAATATTTGTTTTCATTTTTATTTCTTTCAGATTGTCTAAAATTTTGATACGATTTACAGATGTAATTATACGTACTGAATTGCATAGTATCGTTTGAAAACTTCCATAAAATTGAATAACCAATGATATTTTAAATTAAGTTAAAAAGTCATGGCAAATTTAACTGAAATTTATAAAATGATCCAAACGAAACAATTAAAAAATTAATTTTAGAATATTAAATGAAATGTTGATCAATGAATCTATCAGCAAATTTACATGTTTGAGTACATGAAATATTTTCAATTAGTAATTGAAAAATCTCTAACCTGTATCTATACTTTGCCTTAGTTTTGTGATAACACTAGCGCCACCTTGTGACAATAGTCCTCTCGGATATTTATAACATAATTAGATTCGGTTTTTATCAATTAGAAATCATTTACACAATAAGTTTCCTGAACAGGCTGTATAAATTAAAATTGATAAAAGATTAGAAGTGCCCCAAGAGATGGAATCTCTTATTTCAATTTATTAAATAAAGTAAATGAACCTAATCAAAAACAAACTAAATTGGTGATAAACCCATAGGGTCATGATTTTTTTTAAATGGTTGATTTCTTCCGAAATTTAATTCAGGAAAAGGAAAAGTCATCTAAACGATTTTATTTGATAGAGTTGAAATCATCAATACAGTGATGAAGGTTGAAGATGTCTCATAAAAAAGATAATGGACAAGTGAACTATTGATATTTCAACAATATCCCGAATGAAATTGAAATTTCCCTCTTGGAATACTTCTTTCATAACCTAAGCCTCTGAAAACCCACACACTGCTGAAAAAGGGGGTATTTGGGATGAGGTGTTGCCTCTATAAGCCTTAACGCTTACAAAGACACTGAAATTAATGAGCAAAACAAATACGAAACTTTTATAAGATAATTAAATGTATTAAAATTTCCAACATATTGACAAATAGGTATTGCTGATGTAGTTCAAATTGACAAGACTCAGTAACCAAGATTTTATCCTTACCTCTCTACGTTTCTCTTCCTCTTTCAACTTTTCTCTTCTCCGCTCCAGGTCTTCCATCATTTCTTTTTCCATTATTTGTTTGGCCTCCTCCACCCTCCTGTTTACTTCCCTTTCGATTTCGTCTTTTCTTTTTTCTAACTCTTCTTCAACCCTCCTGTTGACGAGTTCTTCTATTCGTTTTGCTGTCTCTTCTTCTATTAGCCTCTGTTCTGCTTCCCTTTGACGTCTTTGCCTTTCCATCTCTGCTAGACGCTCTACTTCATCCATTTTTCGAAGCTTATGCCTTTTACTAGAATATCTTTCGGATTTGCTATAGTCATCAGATGCATAGCTACTTGAGGAAGATGATATGGAATGTGAACGCTTTTTACTATAAAAAAACATTAAATCAAAATTTACTTCATTCTCTGAAGAGTTTCACCTTATTGTCCAAGAAAACATAACTGTAAATGTAACATAAGAAAACAAATGTAAAGATAAAATCAGTAAGGTTTACAGATCATACTTCTAATGATAAGTGATTTGAAAGTTCCCCATCTGAATTGAAGGGGTTATATTTTTTAGGAGTGATTAATTTTTGGGAAAGAAAGTTTTTGGCTTTCTACTACTCCATCTGATACAAAAAAAGGGATGAGAGAATCTTCCAAAGAAAGGAAGGAAGTAATCAATTTGAAAATAAGTACTCTATACATGGATGTGTAGATCATGCAAAGAAGTAACTTTCAGACACAAACTTAAAGAAAGTCCTCCTGAAACAGGTACTTTCATATAAACATTGAATTACACAAAAGAAAAAAAATCTTTCGAAACAAATACTTCTATATGAACACAGAAGATACAGAAGATACTTCTCTCTACTCAGTTTGTATTTCAAACATTTGTTAAGGAATAAGAATCAGATATCATTCCCTTTTTTTGTATCAGATGGAGTAGTAGAAAGCCAAAAACTTTCTTTCCCAGTTCCCCATCATTATGGAATTCTGAAACTAAAAATAATTGCTAACGTGAATAGAATGGGGAGTGGAAACAAAGTTAAACTTTGAATTGTGCTAGTATACAAAGAAAACCTCAACTTAAAAGTTGGCTTATAAGCTGTCTGAGATGTTCATAAATGTTCAGCCTATTGTCAACAAAAACTTCCAGAAATTTTATGTTTGATTTATTTTGTCATATATCATTGCCTATTGAAAGTTCATTGAATAAAAATCTGAATGATAATATATTTCTCTTAGAAAATTTCAATGACAGAAGATTAGAATCTCCTTTACCGAATTAGGTGATATTTTATGTAATGATTGAGTTTTTTATGAACCATCTGAAAAATCAAAAATAGTATACATATTCAATAAAAAGTGATATTTTGTGTGGCGAGCATGGACGAAATAATTCATAGGGAATCTGCCAACCATGCAATAAGCTATGTATTTCCATCAACTGTGAAATTTGGCGATTTTATTGGATTTCACATGACTAATTCAAGGGTACACTGGATATTATCACTGAGATAGATCTATCAAAGCTGGTAAGGATTACTTTGAATACCAACAGCAGTAAAAGCTGTTAACTCTTTAAGTGCCACCAGTACTTAAAGTAGAATAGTTACCATAGTGATGATGTGATTTTGATAGAAGCTGAAATGGCAATTTCAGTAAAGGAATTACTCTCACTAAGCATCATGAATTTTTGGTTTTCTACCTTATTCATTTTATTCAATTACATATTTTTTTAATTTGTTTTTCAACATTTTATACCATACTAACATTTGAATGTTTTTTTTGTAGAATGTTTTTGGACAATTCAAATTCAAATTACTAATGAAAATAACATACCTGGATTTGAGACTTTTATCTTTAATTTTCTCAGACCTCTCCATCCTGTCACTATTTTTGTAAGTACTGGAGCTTTTGTCCCTTGATTTGCTCCTCTTGTGATGTTTACTTTTGTGGTGTTTTCTGGGAGACCTACTGGGAGATCTAGACCTGCCCATTTTCAAACTAAGTAAACCAAGTTATGAAACTGTATTTCAGAATTTTTTTTCTCACGACTAATAGCTTTGGTAGTAGAACAAAAAAAAATATCACACAAAACCGCACCTACAGCAATTTTAGAGGAAAAATCCTTTTGCTAATATTAAAATACAAAATGACTGCCGTACAGATACGAAGCGTTTTTCGATTCTGTTAATGATTAAACCATCTGACATCTGACGTTATATATATATACTTAATATCTTCTTCTTCTTCTGATTATGGTCGGTGTTTCAGGCGCATTTGACCAGTGCGCCTCCTATTAATTAACTAATATAGGCTGTTCAAGTTATGAAGAGAATGACGTCATTTCTGGTAATTTTGTATATCCAACATGACAACGTTAAAATTCCCACTGATATACGTTCAACAACAATGAAACTAGATTTCTCTCGAAATTTAATTCAGGAAAAGGAAAAGTCATCTATACATTTCATTTTGTAAGTTGCTCAACAGATAGTGAAATTTCAGACGTTGGCGAATCGAAAAAAACTCGAAAACTGTCAGTCTTTCTTTTCGGAACCAATCATTTCTTTTGATAAGACCTGCGTATATTCAATATGGCTAGAGCATTGTCGAAATAGTCTCAACAAATAATAAAAGATAATAGCAATAAAACATATCAACAGTACAAAAAAATTTGAAAGTTCGACAACACTGGCAACTGTATAACTGCAACTACTTCAATAGATTAAAATGTATGGAGATCTATAATTTTCATATTTCATCCCAAAAAATTATACACGACAGTATCTGCTCAACAGTACAATTTTAGAAATTATGGAAGATTTTGATCGATTGAACTTTTTGTGCAAGAGATTTTGAAAAATAAACTTCGTAAAGCGATCATTGCTTTTTTGTGAGTAAAATGTTTGTTCACTGCAATTGAAAATTTGTTGAACCTATACCAAACTCAACACTTCTTAAAGAACGGCGACAAAATAAATAATCATTGCTTTAAAATTATTGACACCTGAACAAGATATAGCAAGCCCCAAACGTTAGCGAGCGATCGCGCAGGTATAGATTCTTCCAACTAAATTCCTATTGTATTATGATACCACTTGCCGGCGAGTGTCGTACCTATAATTAGTTTTAATCAGGGTAGCAAATGTAACATGACTTCTTTGTAATTTCTTTTCATACTTTATTTAGTATTATAGGTAGTATTTCAGTTCATTAAAATGTTGTATAATAATTCACTCTTGACGACTGTTTTTTTAGGCGATGTCATTTTTTCAGAAACAACACAAATTATTCAGACAATGCCAAACGCATTGGAGGATAAGTCATATACAGAGCATTTCTATGTCTTGCAAGAGCTTTAGTGGGGGTTACATTGAAAATGAGTTTGTGCGCATGGGTTCGGGCTCGCCATCACGTTTGGCATTTGCTGTACTTCAATTCTGCCTGCTCTAAAATGTCTAGGTTATGGAGTTCATATCTTTCCACCCCAGCTTTTTACTTTCAGCATATTCTCAAATACGCCCCAAATGGAAACATGTTTATATTCCTTTTGCCGAAAGAAAAATATATTACTTTTAAATGTGTAGGCAATATGATAAGTAATTGACTAATTGGACTCTTCAGTGGTTTATATCACTCAGTAACTTCTACTTCAAATTTTATTTTTTAGTTTGTGGAAGGTTAAAAGCCAGAAAATCGGAGAGAAACATCGAATCCTTCCCAAAAAAAGTCGTTCAAAAAATATAAATGTTTTGATGACTAATAACAATTGTAGCAATACATAAGGAAGTGAAAATACAAAAAATCAATAAACCTATGAAATAATACTTAAAAAAATCTTGATCCATTCAGAAGTGAACTTGCAGCATCAGTGGTTCAAAATTTGGCTGGTTTTGACAATTTTGTCCATTATTTCCAGAAATTTCACCATAACATTTGGAGCTTTTTGTCTCAAAAACACTCTCACAAAATCTTCCATATTTGGCGTTCTTTCCTCCAATTTTTTTGTAAAGTTATAAATAAATGTACTGTTTAAACATTCAGCGATCAGATAGTCTGAAAAGGGCATATTCAACACATCATTAAGTAAATGAATGTGTAAGAGGCAGCTTTGAAACTGAGACATATCATGCATTAAGTCTACATCAAACAAGATTGTTTCGCCCTCTCTTATTTCGAAATACTTTCTGAAGTGTTCCACTTCTTGTAAAATTGAAATTTGCATCACAGAATGGCTACTTTTAGGTTTTAGATTCGAATCGTAATTGAGACTCTTATCATTACAATGGAACAAGCGCTCATTATTATCATCCACATAACTCAAAATAGTCACACACATAACCAGCGAATAAACAAGTGGCCAGGTTAGTGAAGAGTGCTTCTGAAGATATATTATAGTAGTTATAAGCAGTTGATATGTTTCCGGAAACTCTAATACATCATCTTTTATGAAATTCACACCAAGTATTGTCAACATAAGCAATCTTCTGTCCTCGATAATGATCTCTTCAATTTCTTTCAAAAATGGAACATCTATATCATATGAAGGTAATACTTTTTCAACCATGGATTCTCCTTCTCGCACAAAGCATTTTAAATTTGAACAAAATTTGGTAAGAATTTTGTGAATAGCATTCACAAAAACCTCACTCAAAATGTGGGAGTGTACCCTGTTGATATTCTCCAGTTGTGGTTTCAAACCAAAATACGTCTTATGAGTGTAAATGTCCATCAAATATGGAGAATACCTACATTTTCTGAAATTTTCGAGGAAGATATCTGGTATTTCATCAATTCGTCTATCATTTTCTTCATCTACATCATATTTCGGAAGCTCATGAACACTACGTATTTCAAGATAGGGTAGATATTTACATTTGTGGAATTTGAAACTTTCAATTTTTTGCTGTAGTTTCATTTTAGCTGACGTAGTTTCTGCTAAATCTAATAAGTTGTTCGTGGCACTTTCGATGCCTAAATCTTGAATCCATGAAGCTATCTTCAACAAACGTTTGTTGATATATCGAATTTCTGGCCATAAGGTAGCACAATTTGGATAGTCAGAATTAGTACTTCCCAGCATTACACCTACCAGAGGTAATGTATCAGAAGTCAGTCCAAGATGTTGCAGAAAACCATTCACATCAAATACACCACATGGAATATATCTCACTTCTGGTTTACCTCTTATTATACGTCGAACAACGCTTGGATAAGGTTTTTCATCAGACTTGCGTAAACTTTGGAATGGTATGTACATGATTTCAGAACAAAGAAAATATTTTGAATCATAACTTAATACAGGGCAATTTAAATTTTTTGCCATGCTCAATGTTGAGCCAAAGCTTTTGAAATCACACCGAACTGTTTTGATTTTTGATTTCTTCAATACATTTTCAAATACACTTCTCATGAATAAAGGAAAATAAAATTCAGAATTCTTGCTTGAAAAGTCAGTGGAGAACTCTATAATTTTTTTTAACCTATCACATACTTTCTTTGGCTTGTTCATCAGTTTGTCGACTGCGACTCCACCTTCAAAAACAACATAGGGAGTTATCTGGCAATCAGCTAACATTCTGAAAAATGATTCCACATAATCTGCATAATTGTTATAGTCCCCCTGAGGGTTACCCTTCCTGTATGTAACATGTATTTTGTACAACTGACGAGAAATAGAGTCCCCTTCCATTACCAAATTTGTGTTATGCAATTCAAACTTTTTCAAAAATGATTGTTTTTCAATGTATGCCGTTAAACCGCGGATCCCCATTTTCGAAAATCTGTAAAAAATATAAACAGGTTGTAATTGAAAATTTAAGTTGATATTAGAAGATTTCTTACCGTCTTGCTTTGTCTGCTGGCTAGAAACAACAGTGGCTGAGCATGATTTCATGGAGTAGCAAAAAACTGATGAAGGCATTTTGACATGAGATAATATATTTACAATATCGATAGTGATAATTCAGATGAGTAATGTCTGGAAATGCAATAAATGCAATTAAAACTGAAGAATAATAATTCAATATAAATCTAGGTTCATTGTAAAATTCTTACTAAAACCTAACCTAGCCCCAAATAAACTAGATATAGATACTGTATCAAATATTTTCTAGGTTTTTCAGATAACTATCAACATCAATGAATGAGTAAACATAAAAATATTTTCCATTCATTTCACTTATCTGGACCGTTTCAGGCTATGAGACCATCTATTTATTTTCAGTAACGACTGCCATTAGCCATCATCCTATGAAACCATCAATCAAATTAATTGAAGTAACTTCTTTCAGTTCCGATGATATAGTGGAAAAATTGTCATACAGAATCTTCCAACAAGCTATCAGATTACAGGTCAGTATTTAATATTTCAAGTTGAGTGTGGTCCAAGTTGAGCGACATCCTGTATCAAATTTTGTGAACATATTCTTATAGGCCATTGAATGCTCCTAATGCAAAGTATGAACAGATTTCCAATATATCTGCAACTAAGAAAAATATCAATTTTCGAAATTTTCGTTTTTTCTGGAACTATTGGACAATTCATTACATAGATTTGTTTTTATTTGTTCACCTAACACACAAAAGAAATTGAAACAGTTACTTGTAGAAGAACTGAGACAATNAGAAATAAAGAAAGCCGGATCAACAGCAGCTATATCGAATTATCGAAGATGACTTCATCAATTCTTTTCACGAAAACACAAAATTTGCAATAGAACTAGAAACCAATAATGCAATAAACTCTTTAGAGTTCATAATTACAAAAACCATCCCATAGAGACACTACTATCAGTAACCATTTCAATCACCCTCATCAGCATAAATTAAGAGCTAGTATAATCCACATACTTACCAGCATCCAGATGTCCATAGAAAATTTCAAAAAGGAATTGAATTTGATGAAAGAAATTGTTAATAACGACAAAATGGTTTAGACTATCGCGGCTGAGGTTTTCAGTGTCATTATTTTTCGAGTTTGAAAGCCGTGGCTTTTTGGATTTTCTTCCTGACATTTCGCTGGCGCGAGTGGCTAGCTTCTTCAGAGGTTTAACCATCATGGCTTGCTGTCCGATGACCAACTTTTAGGCTTCGTAAAGCGTATTGTAATGAATCTGAAGCCGGCCCTGACCGATGTCCCAGTCAGCAAACGCATGTCTGATCGCGAAATAGCGGGAAAGGTGTGGATGGGTCCCGAAATCCGCAGAGAAATCCGGAACGTTCGTAGACGATATAAAAAGGTCGCTCTCCGTCCCGAGTAGTAGTCTGTACTTTGAAAGTGAATCGTGCGTTTAAGGAAAGGAATCTAATTGTGAAGATAAATTAAGCGTTAGTTACTAAGTGTTGTGTATAAATTAGTTGTGATAATGAAATGTTGTTAAAAATAAATTTGATTAAGACAGTTAATTCTTTAATTCGTTACAGTATTTATGCCTTGTCAGGTAATCAGTTGTTTTTGTACATGTACTTGTATCTGCCTGTACCTGTACTCGAACCTGGAACATTAACAATCTTGCTGCCTGCTGTCATTCTGTTCGTTATTCTCGAATTCCTTAAAATGGGGTTCCATATTCGGGTGAGGTTCATCGCTTCTTCTTTTCTGTTGAAATTCTCCGTGTGTTTGTGGATCTCTATTGCCTCCCGTACCAGTCGGTTGTGGTATCCCTGGTTGGGGGCAATTAGTTCTGCGTTTTCAAACAAGATTGTGTGGTCTCCTTCACTAAATGCGTGTTCTGCCACAGCTGACTTGTCCGCTTGGCCTAGTCTGCAGTTCCTTTTATGCTCTTTTAGTCTTGTTCCCATGGATCGTTTGGTGGTTCCGATATATAACTTCCCACAAGTGCACGGTATGCGATAGACCCCTGCTGCTGATAATGGGTCTCTTCTGTTTTTAGCCGACCTGAGGCTTTGTTGTATCTTCCTCGTGGGTTTGAAGACTGTTTCGATGTTGTGTTTATCCAATAGTTTTCCAATTCTGTCCGTGACTCTAGGGATGAACGGTAGATATGCGCGTGCAACCATCTGATCCTATTTCGCTTTTTGAACCGTGGTGCTCTTCGATTTCATGGCTTTCCCGATCTCGGAGGCACTGTATCCATTCGATCCCAAGGTCACTTCAAGGTGTTTCAGTTCCCTCTCCAGATGTTTTGGAGAAAACATAAAATAAATTTTGTACTAAAGAAAATTAATTATAACTATGCTTGTCAACTTTTAGAGAATAAACACGATTTCAACATCGAGTACGACGTACAGAAAATAAAGGAAAAAAATTAAACCTGCTATAATATCTGGAAATCATTAAATGCAAATATTTAAATTTAAATTTTCTTTTAAACGTCCAACAGGAAGTTATTCATTCAAGATTGTTGAACTTATTCTCATAAAATTTCATTGATTAACATATTTACATATCAACTGTTTTTCTAGAAATATAATGGTATTAATGTGTTCTTTCTAATTCTACCTGTCGTCTTACTGGGATTCCGTGTTAGGAATCACACGTTAAAAGGTAAGACCTCGTTAGTCCTTAGCTCGCACAAGTTTCTCAACTTCTGAGAGTTGTCGTTCGTATGAGGGCGGCAGCTGATTATCGGAAAAACAGATTTGAAAACAGATTTAATAGAGTTTTGATATACAATGTCAATATTGTACCTGTTTCTTTGAAGTAATATTGAGTCGTACCTAATTGTTTACCTATTGAAAATCTACCTCTTAGCTACTGTTACATAAAAAATATTTATCAGTTTTTGTTCACATATTTGGACAGAACTATTCAGCAGTCTTGCTGGAAGCAATGCTGTCGCCTCTTTTTTGTCGAACTTTTTTACGCCATCTGCTCAGAAGACCTTTGGGTTTCACATACATGGCCCCCTTTACGTGGTTATCCGAACCACCTGGCCTGGATAGCGCCGTGAATAAAGGGGGCCCTCACTTCACATTTTTGTAACTCTGAAGCAGGGCCCCAGACGAAACACACTTCGAAATATTTTGTAATTAATCNACCAGGAGTCTGGCGACCCCGTCCGTAAAGCCACATTGGCTTCCCGGACAGGGCATCCAGTCCCTTGGCTATTTCCCTATCCGCCACCTGTGATTTTTGGTTTATTCGCATACACCTGTGACTCAAGAAAACCCCACAAGAAAAACTCTAATGGGGTCATATCAAACTATCTCTGTGACCAATTCACATCACCTTCAGGTGAGATGACCGTGCCCCCAAATCGCTCGTGCATAATATCCAATGTGCATGAGTAGTGTGGCACGTAGCGATGTCCTGTTGAAACCACATATCGTTGGTGTCCAGATCATCCAATTCAGGCCAAAAAAAGTTGGTTATCATCGATAATGATGGCCTGGCCAACGTCGTTCTCAAATAAATATGGACCGAAGACACCGCCAGCCCAAAAGCCACACCAAACAGTGATTTCTTCAGAATGCATTGAACGTTCTTGGATCTTATGTGGAGTGATACTGTCCCAAATTCGACAATTCTGTTTGTTCACGTACCCCTTCATCCAATTGTAAACTGCTCCAGAGTCCATTCGACGAACACACGTCGTTGTCTATGGTTTTTACCTTCAATTCCTGAGTCAGTTCAATTTTATACGGGTGCAGGCCCAAGTCACGACGCAGAATTCGCCAAGTTGTGGTTGGCGAAAGGCCGAGTTCTTGTGAGCGACGCGAAATTGACCGTCTCAGATTCTCTTGCACACTTTCATAGACAGCGGCGATGTTTTTGGCAGATCTTGCGTATGGGTGTTGGTTGATTGTTTACTGAACGTTGCCCGAACAGAATATTCATTTTGATAAAACAATTTTACTATGGGTGAATTGCAGTGCTATTTGCTTGAGACGACTATGTTGCTTTCTTTGATGTAGCGACATGTTTGCATTCTTGAAAATCTTTTACTCTCAGACAATACTGAACAAACGATTAGAATCAAAATACTTTAGCCCAGTATAGAAAGTATATTTACTACTTATTGATGTCAAACACAATAATACATGTATACATGTATATTTTTTCCATCTTTCTGGCCACTCTTAAATTACACAGGATGTTTGTGTTTCTCATGCCATCTCAAACTCTTTACCAGATAAAATGATTTCTGACAGAATTTGCAGGAATAAATTTTTTCGCCTGTATGAATCCTCTCATGTTGTTTTAAAAGACCTTCTTCAAAAAATGATTTTGGGCAGGTTTTACAAGGAAATGGTTTTTCTGTCATATGAACCCTCTGATGGGTTGTCAAATGTCCGTACTGTTTGAAAGATTTTGAGCAAATATTACACACAAACGGTTTTTCGCCTGTATGGACCCTCTCGTGTATTTTCAAATCGCTGGCTTGGTTGAAAGACTTTGTGCAAATATTACAAACAAACGGTTTCTCCCCTGTATGTGTCCTTTGATGCATTTCTAGTCTTCCCTTACTTGCGAAGGATTTTGAGCAGATTTCGCATAAAAACGGCTTATCATGTGAATGAAGCTTGTGGTGAACATTCAAGGACCCCATTCCCGTGAAAGATTGTTCGCAGATATCACAATCAAATGGTCTCACTTCTTTATGAAAAGTATTAAGGTGGATTTTCAAAGTTTTTTCGTGTTTGAAATATTTCATGCAGATTCCACAAAGGAATTTTTTTTCGTCCGTATGTGTCTTCACATGCTCTCTCAAATCACCTTTGTTCTTGAAAGATTTGGGGCATATCTCGCAATGATATGGTTTTTCCCCTGAATGATTTCTTTCATGAACTCTCAAACTGTACGATAGATGAAAAGATTTTG